GTTACAAGTTTTGGGCTTTTGCCGCTATTTTATTGCTAGCTTTTTGGTCTATGCTCACCGGAACTGTTACTCTCCGTTGGTCCGCCGGCAACCTCAACGCCATCTCCGATAATATCGACATTCCTCTCCCCGAAGATCTCGACGTTCTCGTCCGTACATATTTCCCCTTTACCTTTTTTCCCTCCTTGTTTATAAATCCTCCGATTCTCATTGTATTTTTTGGCCAGGCAATGGAAGAAAGGGAGAAGTTAGTGAAGCATATGTGGGATGTATATACAAACAGCCGTGGGATCAAAATGCCAAAGTTTTGGCAGGAAGCATTTGAGGCGGCATACGAGGAGTTAACCAGTGATGTTCCTGGAGTTTCCGAAGATGCCATTTCTGAGATCGCTAAGATGTCTGTTCGCTACATTCCTATTGAATCGCCACCTCTCCATTCATTGGTTAGCTCTCTCTATCTGCCCCTTTCTCTTTGATCCAATTCTTCCCCGTGGTCAGCTTTGGCTATGAACACGTGATTTAACTTTTTGACATTTTAGGTTGGCGATTTGGGGGTGTTTTATTAGATAACTAGATAAGTTGAGAAATTCTTTTATCTGTGGTGTCGGGCCACCTTACGCGACTATTTCACCGGGTACCTGCTACATCCCACCAGCCTCCACCAATACACGTACCCGGTAACTCCTACCAAGCTTAGGCGATAAGAATAAATCACCTAGTGTTTTTTGCCTCCACCGGTTCCTCTATCTTAGTTTAGAAGCTAATTTGGTTCCTCTTTTCAATTGGATTTTTCTTTCGGGAACTATAATGTGAGGACAAAGAGGAGTTTCAGCCAAAAGTACACACAAGATACAAGCAGCTTTTCAGGTCACTTCAGTGAATTTTTTGTGCTGATGCAATATGGAGTTTACAGTTATAATGAGTTGCGATGTAAACATGAGGTTCCACTACCAAATGACGGAAGTAATTTAATTATGACCAAGTTAGAAACTGGTTTGTTCCATTTGTGCACTGTTGCGCCTTCTTACTTTTAAGTTTTTCCTAGTGTAGAACTTGATATTTGTGTTAATTTAGTTACATCTTTAGGAAATGATGGACTTTGACTATTTTCAGATAGAAATATGGGTTTTCCTTTGGAAAGAGTTCTTAGAGGGATGTTTTGTGTGCTTCAATTTTTCTTTTCTGTCACGCAACCGTATGAAGTGTGAAGGAGCAGTTCAGATTTCTTCAAGGTCTTACTTTTCCCTCTAGTAACTCAATGTTCCAGCTTACAAACTAGTTTCAAAAAGGAGCAATGCAATGCTTTCTGATAGCTCTGCTAGACAGAAGTGATAAAAGTTTGTATCAACATTATTTGTGCTTTGCAGTTGTGTATCTCAAGGCTCTGGAAGTAGTGTATGTCATTTAATTCAAAGCGGTGTCTATTAACTTTTCTGCTGTAAAATTGTAACTGTTTTTTTATAGCTATGGTCATAATAATACCAATTGAACATAGTTGGTGGGTAAATAAACATGAATATCTGTCACAAATTTGATAAATATGATACTGCTGAAACTCCTTGCTTTTTGAGGCATCACTTGCGACCTCCATTCTCACCAAAACTACTCAAAGAGATTGTCCTCCATCTTCACCAAATTTTCATCATGCACGTTATCAGAAAGCAAATAAGCAGCCAATGTTGATAGCAATAAACCCCATTAACTTGAATAGTCAATGCCACGTTGCAACCATCTAAATATTGATCAGTACATGCACCCAATATGGAGTTATCAACCAGGTCAACTGCTTCCAGCATCAACTCTTTGGATTGCTAGTTCCACTATATTCACATTCCTGCTGGGGGATACAGGAGTTAGGCAGGAAATGAAGCCCTAGACATGCGGTGACCATGAAGAAAGACAAGATGCTAACTTGTCCTCTTCTGCCTCTTCTCTCCATCTCTCTTTCCCTATCTCTTTGTTGCCTTTTGTTTTCCTTAAAATTTATGTGATGCCTAGGAGATGATGGAGGCTTTCTTGTTTTCTAAAAGATCCTTTTACAAACTTCTTACCTTTCCCAGTTAATTCCATCCTGTTCCTCATGATACATGTAACCAAAGGGGGCTGGAGCATATGACAGTGGCGTTGGGTTGCTAGTGCTGTCTACTGGCGCGTAAGATGGAGACATGGAGTTTCCAGGGTCATTGATACTAAGAGGAAGTTTTCGAGCTGATTGGACTGGATAATAGCACAGTTCTCTGTTCGACTTTGGTCCGCCCATTCTTGTGTTATTTCTTCTTTTTCTCCGTCAAGCTTGTGAATTTTCTCATTGCTCCTTATAAGAGTTGAAAGTTCTCCTTATCAAAAATAAATAAATACATAAATAAAGTTGAATAAAGTTGTCTTTGCCTTCTATAGGGCTGCGTGCATGAAATGTACAGCTACTTCTTACTTAACTACACAGTGATATGATTGGTGTATCTTTCTGCAACTTATTTTGTCAAATCAGCTGGTATGAAGCATAAATGCCTGAAAGTAATGCACCCAAAGCTCGACAGGTGATGGATAGTAAGATTTTTCCCTCTCAGAAGGCCAGTAACATTGGCTTGAGAAATAAGGTTCTTCATTTCTTTATGGCTGGATCTCTATCTTTATCTGTCTCAAACATGAACATGCACACATCTGCACAACTCACGGGCAGATGAAACAACCTTAGGTAGCACTGGATTCGTTGTAATTGAATCAAAAGAGTAAGGTCTGCCTCATTAATATAGAATTCTCTTAAAAAGAAGTTTGTGGGAGAGCAACTTTTTTGGAAGCTGAAGGTGGCAGATGAATCTGTTCACTGACTTCTGCCACTATTTTGGGTTGTCTTTTGTTTAAATTTTAGAGAGAGAAACCAAGAAACAAAAGTACACACACACACACACACATATATATATATATATATTTGGTGGTCTTTCTTCTCTCTCCAATCCTGAACTCCTGCTTCTCCCAGATTCTTGTTATGTTGTGATTGCTCCTTTAACATGTGCAGCGATTGTAATTGACGTGTGTTTGATCTCATTTTAAACTATTTCAGGGAGTGCGAGAATTAAGTCTAAGGCAAACGAAGAGCGAACAAACAACTGCAACAGGGAGAAGGTTATGACTTGGAGAAATCAAGAACCCCCATTTGCGTGGTTGCGGCTTTTTCACACACGATAAATGGTGATTTATGCCATCTGCTGTCTGGTATTGATGAAAGGGAGCATTTGGGAAAAGATTACACTGACATGCATTGCATTTTTGCTGTAAGGACAAAACGATGTATCTATTTAGGTTTTGATACTTGTAATTTTTTATTCTCCTTTATTTTCCTGTCTTCCTAATGAAAGCACATATTGGTGAAAAACTCAAACATTATCATGATTGGATTAATTCATGCAAAAAGAAAAATCTGGAGTTGTTGCTACAGTTTTGCACTGGAAGACATTTTCCATAGATTGATTTTCCGCTTATTTTTACTGACGATGTGAAATCGTAAGGGAACAGGAATTTCATTTTGGTTTGTTGTGGTTAAACTTGTAATTTTTGCCTTAGGGTAATTATGTGTAGACACCAATCAGGCCATGTCCACGGGCATGTGCATTGTCTAGCAGTATTAGTAGTTCAACTCCTCTTATAAAGGACGGCGCTGTGTAATTTACTATACTGTTTTAGAATGAAGTAGTGTTTGTAAAAAGGCAGGGTGTAATTATTGTATATCTACCCGTTCAACTGTAGAAATCGTTGATGTCAGAATAACAATAAATCAAGTGTAAAGTCTGACTTATCACAAATTGATATATTTGAAGAGCTTTTAAAGATGATGAGCAATTATCATTATAATCGGAGTCCAAAATTTCATTCTTATCAAATACAATCCCTGTAATCAATCTTTAGTTTATCCACAAAGAAAAACCTTTTGTCCATTTTCTCTTCCCTTTCTTTTTTCTCCTCCTACTTTCCCTTCATCTTACTTTTCCTAGTTTCCAGTGTAGGATAAACGTTAACCTTTAATACTCTTTTTGAGGTGGATGGGGACGACTATATATGTTGTCACTGACATCTGCCGATTGAAGCATTTGCATTTGAAACTGCATCTTATTATATATAAATGATCTACTGTGTTTGATTATATGTTAGTTCTGACCACAACTCATTGACATATTTTAGGGTTAGGATTGAAGAAAGAGTTGTATCTTTATATGGAATAATATCATGAAGCCTGAAGTTTATTTTTGTTTTTTTTTTGAAGAGTAACTGTGACCTTCAACTGCCTGGGTGGGAAACTGACCATAGATTCATAGAAAGAAGCGAATCAAAATGAGCGTGTTCTTATGATATATACACTTAAAATATCTTTTGTATATGTAAACATAGTTCGAGTAGAAAGTAATGTATTCAATTGAACCCACACAACTCGTCCTATATTTGCCTCTTATCGTAGATGAGGTATTGTTCAACAAGTGGTAACAGATACTTTCAGTTTTAATTTTCTGTATGTAAGAAACTTAAGGTGACTACGTGTAGAGGAAAACAGTTGTCATATGGTTGAGGAATTTGATAGAGTTAGTAAGTGCGCAAGCTTGATATCATTGAACATTCTACACAGGTAGTCCTCTAATTATAAATAAAAAACTAGACAAATTTCTCTATTTATACTGCTCAAATTAGTAGTTCTAGACTTTCTTGACAGGAGAAAAACCTTTCTGTTTCTTTATATACTGCAAAATTGTCTTAATTGCTTCAACAATATAATTTTCAACCCTCTTCTTTAAACCCGAGAACGTTCTTTGCTGAAATCAGAAGGTGGCATGAAGAAATCAGCTGTCAAACGTCCAACATTAAAATCTACCTCTTCAATTTTCCATCTTTCCTCAAGCTGCCTCTTGTGATTTGCAGAGTGCTCTCCATATCTGAAAACTGTGACAAAAGTTCTACCACTGTGTGCAACATTAACTCCGTCAACATATTTATAATCTTCCATAACAGATTCTGTGCTCGTCTCCCAGAATACACCTTCGTCGTCTCTGCTGGTCTTAACTGTTAGCAACCTGGAATCCTCAAACTTGACCATTAGGCCTGATCTTTGGCTAAAGTATCCCCATATTGTATGGTGAAGTATTTCATAATTTGGACCACTTTGTGCCTCTAAAGCTGATTGGTTTGTATCAAGTTTGAGAATGAAACAATCCTCATCATTTATTATCTTCTCTCCTATGCATACTGCATTCGCGAACAAGTTTGCTATTGACCGAGGATCTAGCCCCTACAACAATGGCAAATCATTTAGACCTTAGCTCTATTATTAGGTTGCAATATAATTAATCAACAAATTTAAGTTATATACATTGACAGTGTAATTACCTGCAGAAAGCGGCGGAGAGGTCTGGGCGGACCCTTAGAGATAGGCCTTTGTTGATTAGATGATTGTCTCCATGAGATTTTACCATTACTACCAGAAATTACTTTGCAACCAGAGATAAGTAATTCTAAACACCAAAGGTCAGGGTTTTTTTGCCAAAGCACAAACCCTCCGTTTTCGTCACTCTTTCTCACCTTCACACTTTGATCACCTTGATGGAAATCAGATGCAGTAATTTTAATATGCCCAATTACACACATGCTGTTCACTGCATTTAGTGCTTGTTGTCCCCCTGTTGCTGCAATGTATTGTTGCAATATGTATTTAGCTGTTGAAGCTTCCTGCATATATTTCCAGTCCAAAAATAAGATATCAAAAGAGAAACAATCAAGAATTGCTCAGATTAATACTTAATAATTTTGGTCATAATGGTAAATGTGGTCCTTTTTGGTCACTCTGGATTTGGAGCTGGCTGTCATGCATGTTTTCTAGGTCCAAATTTATCTTAAAACTGACAATCTCTATTTCAGGCTGAACGAAAGATCCAAGATCTACACTTTATGCGTTCAACCGTTATGATTTTTTGCCCTGAATATGTTCTACTTCTGAAATCATGAGTTCAGAATTTAATGTTTGTTGAAATCTTAATGGTCTTTACATATATCTATGTTTCGTGTCAGAAAATTCTGGCAATTGAACCCATTGAACATAGGATCCAGGGGTCGAGCTGGTATGCCGGTTACGGTTAGGCCTAACACAATAACTTTTGTCCAAACTATGTATTTGTCTAAAGAAATTCACTAAAGATGTATAGCATCCTGAAACTATTAGCTTCAAATCCTAGCTCCGGCTCTAAATTAGGAACCAGGCTCCGCCTCTGAATTAGGATCCATTTGCCTTGTTAAACTCAGAATGCATATGTTATCTACAACTCGATGAATGAAAATGCACAGGTATTAAGTGAAAAGATTTAAGCTTGGAGAATTCATATATTACAATGGAAGAATGTTTGACGGGACGATTAACGGATTGGCCCAACTGAATTTGGAAAGGGATAAGAGGAGATCCAACCATATAAAGGAGGAAACTAAGTTCATTATAACGAGCAGCAACAATAGGGGAAGACCATTTATCAGATGTTTGCGCTTTCATCCAGGTTGCCATATTTTGCCATCTGAGTGCAGCATTACTGCCCATGCTTTTGAACATTTCATCTGGAATTGGCACCTCAAGTACTGTCTCCAGCCCATCTTCTTTATCAACATTGGGACAAAGTGTCCTCATGTAATTTTTATTTTAAAAATTTAAAATGAAATTAAAACTTAGTATGTGTGTGTTTTGAATGTTAGGATGAATTTCGAATACTGAATGCATAAAAGAAAAAGAAGAAAGAAAGAGAGAGAGAATGTGTTTTGTATGTAAGAGAAACATAAGGTTAGAGAAAGGCTCAGAGATAATTAAGGATTGTTATAATGAAAAAACAACAGTCTAATTCTCTGTTTTTCTTGTTTGAAAAAAAAAAGTATTTTGAGGTGGGTAATTTTTTGCGGAGAGATTTCCAAAAATGTAAGGGTATTTTGAATTCACTATGCCTAAAGGTTCTCCCTTTCTTTTAGCAGTCGTGCGGGCACAATTTTATCCAAGATTTGTAAGTATAATTTTATTTTGCATCTTCATTGCTTATAATTAACTAATTTCATATTTGGGCTAGCATGTTAACCAGGGTTACGTTGAACGAGATACTATTGACATTAAGAAGGACGGATTCAAAATTTCATAAAAATTGTATATTATTACAATAAACTTGAACTTAGCAAGAATATGTAATTCTAATAATTTATTTAATTCATATTACTACTTTATATAAATGGTCAAGCTGTACAAACACAGTATTGAACCATTGTACATATAGTAGTCTCAATTGTTCAAAACGTATTCCCTTACAATAGGCTTCTGTACAAAAAACTGATGTAAAATTAGTGTATGTTTATTTAAGTAATTTTTACCTCATATAGCAAAGGTTAACACCTTATTTATTTTAAATAAATATCATTTTAAAAAATTATATTCTATAGATACCTTTTAATGTTTATAGCAATATATCTAATTTTGGTTACCTCCTACCCCTAAGCCACTAAATATGCTATTCAGTTACACTATTTTCTTTCTCTCTCTACTTTGATACATGCCATTCTCTTCCCCCATTCCCTAAACACATGATGCTCAATCTCAAAATTCCTCTCACCCACATCACCTACTATTAGTCAAAAACCCCATGCTCTCTCCTCCCTCCTGCACTTTCAGACGACCCTTCAAATCTTCAACATAAGGGAAGGGAGGTCCAAAACTATAACGACCCGACCGGTCGTTTTGAGCTTTTGCACCTTGCTTGTCAGTTCTCGAGCATGACTTGCCCCGTATGAAGGATTATGACTTATGTAAATTGTTGGTTTTGGTTTTCAGGGTAATCGGAATGAATTTGGAAGAATAGTTCTCAGTTTAAAGCTTAAAATTTGAAAGATTTGACCAAGATTTGACTTGTTGGTATATGATCTCGGATCAAAATTTTTATGATTCAGTTAGCTCCGTTAGGTGATTTGGGACTTAAGAGCGTGATCGAAATGCATTTTGGAAGTCTGTGGAATGTTTAGGTTTGAATTGGCGAAATTGAGATTTTGGCGTTTTCCGGTTGATAGGTGAGATTTTGATATAGGGGTCGGAATGGAATTCCGGAAGTTGCAGCAGCTTCGTTATGTTATTTGTGACGTGTGTGCAAAATTTCAGGTTATTCGGACGTGGTTTAGTCGGGTTTTTGATCAAAAGCGTAATTCGGAAGATTTTGGAATTCTTAGGCTTGAATTCGATGCAAATTTGGTGTTTTAATGTTGTTTTGAGCGTTCCGAAGGTTGGAACAAGTTTGAATGAGATTATGGTTTATGTTGGCATGCTTGGTTGAGGTCCCGAGGGCCTCGGGTGAGTTTCGGGTGGTTAATCAGACCATTTCTTGTTTTGAAAAGTTGCAGAAAATTGCTGTTCAGTATTGCAGGCATTTGGCCTTCACGTTCGC